CAGCAGCGGAATTTTCGGACACTCTGGACACTCTGACGCAGAACTCTTTCTCTGACGTCATAGATGCTGGTATCCCGGGGAGTTCCCTGGCAGAAAGGGAGAGAAGGAAAGACAAAGAATGAAGAGGTAGCATGGCGTTCTGCAGAAATCCTCCTCCACTTTCCACTCTTTGCAGTGTTTGTTCTTTCTTTCCTTTCAGTAGATTTCTTGGAACTTCCTAGAACAGCCTGATATCTCTGCAAAGGACAAAACTGAAGCACAGTCACATATTAATGTCCAGAAGAGGGAACTTGCTATCCCAGATAACACCCCTGGGAGCCTGGGGAGTTCCCTGAGCAGTTTTAACCATAATGGGGTCTGTACCCAGGCACTGTGGTGGATAACCAGGCTTTAGCGTCTGTTGCTAAGAGGAGGGGCCTCTTCTATGTTTAAACACAAGACTGGGCTTGACCTGCTGGTTCCCTTGGTAGGAGGCTGAGCTGAGCAGCAGGAAGTATTAGTGACCGAAGGGAAATTGAGAAAGTGTTTAGTGATGGCCCAGGAATGTAACAATAAGAGATGATTATCTTGAAGAGGTCTAAGACACAGCAGCTGGTGGTTGAATCTTGAAGTCCAGAGTTAGACTGGTCTAACTCAGATCCTGCACTTCTTGTTAAGGAATGTTCAGCTTGTATCGAGTGACTGTCAGCTTCCGTGTACAAATTCCATACCACTTTTTGGTCATACTGTGAGTGCCCACTTCACCAGGTCTGTTTGTGAGTTTGATGAGATACTGCACCTCAAAGAGTTTGCACACTGTAAATTCATCCTAATTTGCCTATGACTTACACACACACACACACACACACACACACACACACACACACACTGAGGCAGGGTCTGAAGGTAACACTGAACTTCTTTCTGATCATTGGCTTCCCCCTCCTTAGTGCTAAGTTTACTCAGGACTAAGAGCAGCCCCAGTGTAAGCCAGGCAAATACTCTACCAACTGAGCTACACCCCCAGGCTTTCCCTACTTCACCACTGTGGTCTTGCATCTTGAGAACTTCCTCTGCCCAGGACAGGTTGGGGTAGTCTTGTCACTCAATGCAATAGGTTCTTTATGAATGTTGTGGCTAGCACCAGTATTATAGTTACAGGCACACAAGCACATACACTCTCATGGAAGTACCCAAGATTTGCCACTGCCCCAACATCCAAAACACTTATCACATGGCTGCTTTCAAAAGTCTTTTAAAGCCAAGTTAGATTTATCAAGCTCTCTCAGAATGCTACGGTGCCTGTCTGCTTCTTCATTCAGTTTCCCCCTTCAATTTTCATGACCCTCCCGTTTCTTCAGGAGGAAACCAAGACAGAGTTAGTTTTCCAACCTTAGCTTTCCTTCGTCAGAGCGGCTACACAATGAAACATTTTTACTGTTCTTTTTGGAGAGCAACTGCCCAGGGCATAGGCATTTTAAGCTCCTTTGAAAAGCACCAAGAACTTCAATTTCCTTTTCCTCACTTTACACTCAAGATTTGGCTCTCTGTAGAGAGTCCTTCCTTGTCCCTTGAGTTAATGTTTCTTGTCATAAAGTATGTAGAGGGTCTGGGCTGTGGCTCAAATGTAATAGAGCACTTGCCTATCACATACAAGGTACGGATCTGATGCCCAGCACACACACAAACATGAAGTGTATAGAGTCAGATATAGTGTAGCAGTGAACTGCACATTGGAGAGACTCTCATCTATGTATGTGAGGAGTAGAAAGAGAGGAGCATGGTAATCAGTCCACGGCCTCCTGTGTAGCAAGATAGGCTGTCTGAAACTCAATGTACTTCAAAGACTAGTTATGCTTAAAGCCATTAAAACAAGAAGACTTTCTGTTTACTGGCATGATCTGTTGGTATTCATGTCTGCCCCATAAAGGGCATCTTCTCAACAATACAAGAGAAAAAAAAATCTCATTTTTCTAATTTTTATGTTTGGAAATATATACACTAAACTAACCAACCAACCTTCCAACCAACAAACCAACTAACTGACCAACCAACTAACTAACCAACCAACTAACTAACCAACCAACTAACTAACCAACCAACCAACTAACCAACAAACCAACTAACCAACCAACTAACTAACCAACCAACTAACTAACCAACCAACAAACCAACCAACTAACTAACCAACTAACTAACTAACTAACTAACTAACTAACTAATCAACTAACCAACCAACTAACTAACCAATCAAACAACCGGTCTGTAGTCACTCCAAAAGGTCAATAGCAAAATTTGGACTTGCATGTGGTTATGGGAAGTGCTCACAGCTTTAGTTATAAACTTATGTGCAGACTGAGGAATGGCTAGAGTCAGACTGGGTTAAAAGTGAGACACTGTTTCCAAAGAAAAAAGGGGAGGGGGAGGAAGAGAGAGAAATGAAAATGGAAGAGGGGAAGGAGAAGGAAGAGGTGGAGAGAGAACTAATCCTACAGGGCACTTACCTGTTTATTCTTAAGAAATAATGTCAGCCTTAAGACCCTCTTTGTCCTCAACTCCAATCCCCAGGGTCTCCAGATAAATAAAACTCAGGATGACCAGAATAACTCAGAATTTCAGGTAAGCATTTTTTGAGGCAAAATATCTTTTAAAATAAATATATCCTGAATACATATGAAACATGCTTATACCAAAAAGTTATAGGTTATTTGCCTCAAAAAGAAATCTTAGAGTCCTATAGTTTCAGTTGCTAAACCTGGCAGTCTAGGGAGGACAGGTCAGCTGGGTTCAGGCCATATTCTGGCTCTGACTAGCAACTGGGTCAATGCATTGCTAAAGAATCCTCCCTCCCCCACTTCTTATTCTTCAGAGCCAGGGCTCACAGTAGATCTCAGAGGGCTGAAAGGGAATTGCTTACCTAGAACAAGCATGCTAGCTCACTGGGGTTCCTATCTCAAAGTGCTGCAGTCTGAGTGGCATATTAAAACAAACAGCAGCCAAACAAAACGAAGAAAAACAAGGAACATATTTCTCATAGTTCAAAATAATGGAAGTCTGAAGTCTGAATGTGAGCATGGTGAGATTGCAGGGAGGAGTTTAGACTGCTGTCTTTTTATTCTGCTCTCTGCTAGTAGAAAGGGGCAAGAAAACTCCCCAGTCCTCCATGTATAAAGCATTAATCTCTCTCTCTCTCTCTCTCTCTCTCTCTCTCTCTCTCTCTCTCTCTCTCTCTCTCTCTCTCTCTCTCTCTCTCTCTCTCTCTCTCTCTCTCTCTCTCTCTCTCTCTCTGTGTGTAGCCTGGAACTCACTCTGTAGACCAGGCTGACCTTGAACTCACAGAGATCCGCCCACCTCTGCTGTCCCAGTGCTGGATTAAAGGTGTGCACCACCACCGCCTAAACTGCATTAATCTCTTCATAAGTGCTTTATCTTCTTGACTAATGGCTTCACAAAAGCTTCACCTGATACTGTTATACTGGGGCACAAAGGATAAAAATATTCAGTCTATTGCTGTAGAAAACTATGGGGAAGCCTAGGAGAGGCTTCATGTGGGTTTATCAGTCCTTTGAATGTTAACCAAGAGCCAAGTTCTCGATGGTACAGAGATGCTAGACCCCCAGATGAGAAATACAAGGTATTGTCTGAGAGGGGGGGGGGCTGGAGGCTGGAGGAGCTAGAGAATTCAAAGAGGTACCCCTAGATGGCACCCTTCAGCTAAAATCCCAGAGAAGCCCCAATTTTTCCAAAGCAATATCTACCAGGACCTGATGGTCTAAGAGAAACAAGTATATTTTTCTTTCCCCCTCGTGGGAAACGTATCATACTGCAGCTCCAGAAAGTGAAGACAGCCAGACAAGAGTGCCTGAGATTAAAAACTTCAGAGACATGCGTGCCCTTATATACCATGCTCCCCATGAGAGGTTAAGTCCCCGACGTCACACAGCCACAGCTAGACTTGGGCCCTTAGATGGGGACCCCAGCCCACAGTTTTTCACGGTAAGCTCAAAGGCAGTGTTTCTGGATACCGGATGGTTGCGTCCCATCTCCAACCCCCTTGGAAACATTTTCAGCGGGGAGGGGCTCCTAAGATATTTGTATTTATTTCGTGGGTGGAACCCAGGAATGCTTCCAAGCACCCCACAGTGCGCTCAGGACATCTCAGAAACAGACTCATCCCATCCCAAATGCTAATAGCACGGCCGCCGAGTAAACGCGCTCCTCAGGCCTGTATTTGGAACCAGGAAACGTGGGTTTCTCCACCGTGGATCCTTGAGAAGAGGATTCGAGTTTATCTATAAACCTTATCCCTCTAGCTCTCTGTTTTTGTTTTTGTCTTTAAATCCATAATGTGGAGATAATCCTTCTCTGAGATTCCCTGAATGCCAACATTTGTCCTTGCTTCATGACTAGACTTTCCAGTCTAGGAGGCACCTCACCGACTCGCGTGACTTGAACTCCGGGGGCGAATCCAGAACTGGATCTGTGCCGAGAAGGGGAAACCCTAAATTCCTCTAAAAACAAACCAAAAAAAACAAAAACAAAAACAAAACAAAAAACCCACCTTGGGCTGCCAGTCCACCTGAGATTTGGCCCCAAAATTTTCACTCCAAGCCACCGCTGTTGGAAGTGACTGTTTTCAAACCCTCACTTTCTCGTTAGTTCTCTAAAGTCTAGAAGGTTTGTAGGAATTGTTCCTAGAGTGTGTGGGAAGAAGCTAACGCTCCTAGCAAAGCTGCCCGCCGCGCGGCTGGGCGCCGGGATACCGGGTCCTTCCTGTTGTGGCTGCGAAGGCGGGGCAGGGACCAGTGCTGGTCCTCGGCGGGGGGGGGGGGGGGGGGGGGGGGGGGGGGGGGGGGGGGGGGGGGGGGGGGGGGGGGGGGGGGGGGGGGGGGGGGCCGGTGGGGGGGGGGGGGGGGGGGGGGGGGGGGGGGGGGGGGGGGGGGGGGGGGGGGGGGGGGGGGGGGGGGGGGGGGGGGGGGACCTAGGCGAAGGGCGGGGCAGAAGGGCGGGGCTTCGTCTGGTTGAAGGAAGAGCGCTGGTTGAAGGGAGGAGCAGGTCCAGCTCCTGTCCTCACAGGCCTGCGTCCCTTCTCTTCTTCCTCCCACTTCGCTTCCCGCCCTCGATGCCTGCAGAGCTGGGTATCGCGGCAGCCAGCACCAGGTGAGAGAGCAAAGCTGTGGGGTGTGGAGTTTAGGGGATCCCGACTGGCTGAACCCTCCAAGTTCGGCCTGGGAAGTGTAGGAGTTCAGGGTCGGCCACGGGAGAGTGCGCTAGCTTCCTTCGCCTGCAGCTGTTGGCCTCTGGGTTGGTCTTGAAGGTGTCTGAAGCCTTGAGTTGCTGGGTGCGGGTGGGAGGTTATGGGGGAGATCCCACCCACCATTTCCAGCCATCACCGAGCTTACACACCGACAGCTAGATTTGTTTAAAAAACAAAAAAAGAGGAAGGGAGGGAAGGAGAGGGAGGGGCGAGGAAGAAAAGAAAAAGAAAGAAAAGGAAAGAAAAGAAAAAAGAAAAAAAGGGAAGTGGGCAGTGCCAGTCCACGAGCGAGGCCCTGCCTTCTTTTTGGGAACCCTGCATGGGAAGACTTGGAGTCTTGCCTGGGCCTCCACACCTCCTCCCCAGGAGTGGTCAACTGGGGTGCCATGCGCCACAGCAGGAGGGAACTGCAGGTGTCAAAGGTGGGTTTGCCCCCAAGATCAGTGACAGGGTACCCAACTACCCTGAGTTCCCGTCTCGTAGTTTTGGGGCCCCGCGATCCGGGATCAGCTCTCCATCTGCATCATACTCTTTTCTTCTCTCTGAATCCCTGGCCTTAGATTGAAACTCTCCACACTCCTCTATCTGAAAGGCGACCCGAAGGCCCTGCCCCCAGTTCGTGGATTCGACCCGACCCGCAGCTGGAACGTTCGCGGTGGCGGTTTGCTCGCGGGACGCCAGAGTCCGGAGCCAAGGCTTTATTTGGAGCCTTGTAAGGGGCGGGGCCTGTTCTCTGAGAACTTGGCTAGGACCCCCAAGCTCAGAGTAGGAGGGGCGCCTAGGCTAGTTGGGGTGGCGTCTTTTGTCTTTTCTTATGATGCTGCTTGGTGTCTGCAATGGACCCTAGAAGAAGGACTAGAGGGTCTGGGAATTGATTGGTGGCTAGGTAGATGCCTGTCCTAACTGCGGTCCTCCGCATTCTTCCCACACTTGCCTTGTCAGACTCTCTAGACCGGTCCGTTGGCACTTGGATGTTTCCCAGGCAAAGAAGACTTGTAACGGGGGTGGGGTGGGGGGAAGCTGGGCTTGTTTTAGCCTGCAGTCGAGATGAGATTAGGTGACCTGAAGGACCATCCCAAATTCAACAGTGCAAGCTGTTGCATTAACGACATAAATGTGTGTAGGAGGAGTTGGTTCTCCCCTGGCTAAGAGGTGAGAACTCATTTTAGTTGGTGTGATGAAACCGTGCGCACTAGACTCTGTGGTGTAGACAGCGCTAAGGTATGTTTCCTCACTGTAACGCGTAGTAGGCATATGGTAAATAAATTGAAGATCTCGGTTATTTTTGGCACGGTGACAGAATCTACCGAGCACAAGTAGGTGAGATCAGGAAGTTGGCAGCAAGGAGATTTGCAGAGATCCCATTCTGTCCAACCCAGACAGATGTTCTGGAAAACCTAAGAGTAACGCTGTAATTTTTTTTATTTGAAAACTCAACTGGAGTTAAAAGTGCATCTGATTTGGCTCATTACTTTCATGAAAATGCATAACAATGTGAAGACAGTCTTGCAAATTCCAGGCTGTCAGAGTGACAGAAAGTAATTGTGCCAAGGCCTTGGGGACAGGTACTGTGAGTGAGGAGAACCTCACCACACATAAAGAAAAGGAGGCATTGTGCCAGGTATTTGGGAGCCAAATAAAGAATAGAAAGCACCTAAGGCCCTGTTGTAGGAGAAAAGAAAGACTGGGAGGAGGAGGGGCTGAGGGAAGGGGCGGGAGACTTGAATTCAGTTTTCTTGCTTGTCATATGTTTTTTTCAATATTCAGGCTGAAAGATGTATGCTCTCAGAGATATATTTCTAGCTCCTTTTCTATACTGTGTGTGTGTGTAAAACAATGAAGTGTTTATAATAAATGGATTTAGCTTCATCATCTTGCTGGTCATTATATATTATAAACAGGTGTGTGATACACATCCTCTGAGTATATTTTCATATTTCATCTCATTGAGGTCCATGAAAAATAAATTGCTGGATCAAAGTTTGTGCAGCTTTAAAAATTGATAAATATTGTCAAGTTATGTCCATTTGCATGCCCGCCATCAGTGCATAGGGGATGATACAAGGCTCCTTGGGGACTACTAATGATTCAAGACACTTCCTGTTTCCTCCAGTGATAGCAAGAGACAGGTGACATGAGAGATTGGGCTACGTGCTCCATCAAAGAACTTACTGGTAGAAGATATACTCTCGAGTGAGACTGGAGGACATTTCAAGATGGCCAAAGACGAGCCGCCAAGTGTCTCCAGAGACTTAGAGGTGCTGCGAAGGAAGCTGTGCTTGCTGCTAGATTCCTTCCAGAGCAACGCAAAGGTCAGTCTCCAACGCCATATATACTGGGAGTTAACACTGGTCTGAACAAGACAGAATGGTGTATCGTTCTCATAACACCTTGCTGTGTCTGAGCTGTGGCCATGTTCTTTGTGGCTGCTAGAGCATCAGCCATCATATCGACATCCAAGGCAACAGGACAGCGGGGGAGTGGGAGGATGATCGTTTTCAAGCCTCCTCCAAATGAAGTCACAGAATTGCAGAGCCCTTCCGGTTACGTCCCATATCATGCAGAATTTGGTTGGATAGCCACCCATCATGGCAACTGCCATCCTTCAGCTGGATCTAAAGAGGCCACCCTTAGTCCACACGACAGACACTACTCTTTTCTTGGAAAACTTTGGTTCATCTATTTCCCTAAGAAAGGGGCCAGCAAATAGCTAGTTTCAGATTTGAATTCTGTGTTCCATTAGAAATTCATCATCCCCCAGAAATGCTACGTTAGCCACCCATACACTAAAATATTTCCGCACCTTACTAAGTAAGTGCTTCTTTGGAAGCAGTGGTTAATTTTAAGACTATATCTTAGTTGATATCAAAAATGGTATCATTTCGGCATGTAGTCATAAAAGTTAATGGAAAAGAAAGTATTTCACATTCCTTTTTGTATTGACTTTGAAATCTAGGCTTCTTTGAATTTACGGGACAATTGTGATGCAAATTAGCCACGGTTTCCTTTTTTACCACTCACTGCAGTGGGGTTTGAGATACTCTGTTTCGTTTATCTGCGTCTGTATCTTTATTGATTTCTCCTGTATACCTTTCAACATTAAGCAGAATGCTAGGGTTGGGGCGATGGTTCAGTGGGTGAAGCTCTTGTCTGACTATCATGAGAACGTAAGTTTGAGTTCCCAGATCCACATACAGATGGTGCAGAAGCGCATCTCTATTCTCCCAGGGCTTCTATGGCAAAACGGAAGGTGCAGACAAGAGGATCCTGGGGTGCTTATAGGCCAGCTAGCCTGTCTTGTCCACTGTGAAACAACAACAAAAGCCCAAGGAGATCCTGTTACCAGCAACAAGTAGAAGGCAAGGGCCAACACCTGAGGTTGTCCTCAGACCTCCGCATAAGCACTCGCATACATGAAAACACGCTCACTTACATTGTATATACATTTCACAAAAAGATTAAAAAAAAACAGTACTAGCTGGCTAATACTATTACCAATTCACTGTGTGTCTTTCTAGACTTCTATGCCATGTGCACATAAAAGTACGTATGCATATAAGGTGATGGGAACTATTTTGTGATTTTATTTTTCTATTGGACAGCACACTTCACCAGCTTCTGTAAAATATATACTAAAGTCATATGCTCCACAGGGGTCTTCTTTGGACTTGCTTCAGAATGCATTTGGCATACTGTCGACTTACCAGGCTGCTTTTAAAATGGACAAGCAGGTTTTTAGTTAGTTGGCAGAGACTCTTTACTGAGTTAGCTCAGTAAGGAAGGTCCTCATGGCCTTTGCACATTTGCAGTTCATTCTCATGACTTGAGGGAGGTCCAAAGTCATCACAGACACCGGATTTGCAAATACCAAACAGACCATTGGTTTTACAGGAATAAGGAGTGCAGGTACTTCAAGCCTCTAGTCATAACAGATCAGTATATGGTCCTTACTTTATGTGTATTTTTGGAAAGATGCATTGAAGTATATAATGCACACTGTTGGTTGTTGGCACTGAACACAGGGCCAGCAGCAGGCTACTTCATGCCTCAAACCCACGTACGTCTTCTTCGTAAGAAACAGTAACAAAAAGATACTGATGGTGGTGGTCATGGCGCTGTGCATTTTAAATAGTGAGATTGACAACCAGAAATAAAAGCTGAACTTTGTGGCATTAAATAGGCCATGAATGTCATAGTTTGGTTCTTCAGTGTCCCAGAGAGGCCCCCATGCTAAAGGCTTGGTTGTTATGGGGAGGTGGTGAGACCTTGAATTTCAGGTTCAAACCATAACAAGCTGGGAATGTTCCTGTCCATTGACTGAGTCTTGACATCAGAGATGCTCAAAGGACTGATTTTAGGTTCCAGATAAATTAGCGTGTAGAAAGTCCTCAGACACAGGATTCGCATATTAGAAGGACTGTATGTTTATTAACTGATTAAGCCCTTACTAAACTCCAACCTTGTCCCAGGCATTTAGCGCATCTATGATATAATATTTATATGCACTTTCAAAGCAGATGGACTTCTTTTTTTAAAAAATAATTTTATTTAACTTTATTTCATGTGAGTTGGTGTAAAGGTGTCAGATTCCCTGGGACTGGAGTTACAGATGGTTGTGAGCTGCCAAGTGGGTGCTGGGAATTGAACCCAGATCCTCTAGAAAGAGGAGCCAGTGCTCTTAACCTCTGAGCCATCTCTCCAGCCCCCAGATGGACTTCTTATTCTTTCCTTTTGATAACTCAGCAGTATGCACTGGAGTAGGTTTGGGCTAGATACTTATCCAGCTAGCCTGCTCCCAGGAACGTGGGGAAATTGGCAGTTTTATGGGCTGGTGTTCTCAGTCTTGAGATGGAATTATTTCTCTTACAAGTTTTTAGTATATTGTGTTAATTGTCCTATTAAAAATATTTATTTTGGGCTGGAGAGATGGCTCAGAGGTTAAGAGCAGTGGCTGCTCTTCCAGAGGACCTAAGTTCAATTTTCAGTAACCAAATAGTGGCTCACAACCATCCATGATGAGATCTGGTGCCCTCTTCTGGCCTGCGGGCAGACGTACAGGCAGAACACTGTATACATAATAAATAAATAATAAATAAGTATTTTTTTAAAAAAAGAAAAAATATTCATTTTATTGTGTATGTGTGCACTCAGTGGTATGTACCTGAATGCATGTATGTGTATCACATGTGTGCAGTGCCTGCAGAGGCCAGAAGAGGACACGGGGTCCTTAGAACTGGACTTACAGGCAATTGTGGGCTGTCCCGTGTGGATTCTGGAAACTGAATTCAAGTGCTCTTCAGAAGCAGTGAGTACTCTTAACTAGTGCTCTCTCCAGCTGCAGGTCACACTAATGCAAAGTGAGTCTGGAGGGAGGAGGAGAGCAAAGCGCCTGTGACCCGCCTCAGTCAGAGTCTCTGTTCCAGATTTTGGTTCATGGTTTTAGACCATCCTGGGGCAGAGGGCAGGATAGAACAGAGTAACTCACTCGTATCATGGTAGCCAGTCAGCAGGGGAATGGGGTTAGACAGACAGACAGACGCACAAAGATACACACAGAGATTGCTTCAGGAATACATAGGGTAGAATGTAGCCCTAGGAACAAGTTCCCAGTGGTCCTCTTCCTGCAGCGAGGCTCTCTCTCCTGTAGTCTCCACAGCTGCCTAAACCAGTGTGAGCAGCTGGGGGCCACGTGAGCCTGCAGGAGCCACTTTATATTCAAATCGTAACAAAAGCATCACTGACACACAGTGGTGGTGATCCCCGTGAGTAGTAAGACCCTTCAGTGTGTAATGATTATGTAATAGTGAGTGTAACCACACCAGACGTAATTTGTATTTTTATTTTGTTTGGTAGGGTGCTGTTTTTTCATACTGAAGTGTGGGTCTTCAGAGTAATTAACATGTGCCCCTAGAACATCAACAAAGGACATCTGATGCTTACCTTACTAGACCTGGAAGGAGGTGGGTGGTCCTCGGACTTCCCACAGGGCAGGGAACCCTGATTGCTCTTTGGGCTGACAAGGGAGGGGGACTTGATTGGGGGAGGGGGAGGGGAAGGGGAGGTGGCTGAGGGGAAGAGACAGAAATCTTTAATAAATAAATAAAAAAGAAAAACAAAGGACATCTGATAGTCATACCGTAATTTATATAGCCGCCCCTTGTCTCTGGGAAATGGAGACAGTTTCTTTCCCCCATGTAATCTGTGCTCTTCACTCACAGTTTAGTGAGCTCTTTGAACTTCAGATGAGGCTAGATAGGCCTCCAGATGGAGTGGGCATGAGATTGCTCCAGCCTCTCCGGAGTGCATGGCCAGTTCTTAACAGTCTTACTTCTAGAATTCAAGAGACAGGAACCTGCTTAAAATAGTTTAAGGAGGCAAACAGGTAGGGCCTTCCACAACTCTAGGAGTCTTTAAGGCTTCCTCATGAGCCATGGAAGAAGTAGAGAAGGGCTGTCTTAGGACTAGAGCCAGGGTCAGGCTGGTGCCTGGTGCCAGGAGTAGCTCTCAACACGCCCTCTTCCTTGGGCTGTGTAGCTTCTCACATTAGTTCCCTGTGTATTCGCTTCATTCCCAGACTGCAGCCCACTCCCCTTGGCTTTCCCATTGATGTGGGCAAACATGGTTGTTTGGGCAGGGACCCTTCTTTCCTCACATCTCCTTTAGCACCTGTTGAAAATCTAGAAGTTTCAGCTCCCTGTTCATAGAGACACCAGTGTGGTTGGCGCCGTCACCTGTGGCTACCAGTGGCTGTTGGACTGGGATCTTTGATTTTGTTTGAAATGCGTATGGCTTATCGGATGTCCTCCCGCTGGGGGAGGGAGCAGTTTTCAGGGAAGCAGAAGGAGTGGCTGGGTGACCAGGTTGGCATCTTCTGATGTGAATTATCTGTGATAGATGATTTTCTTCTCATGTTGGACCTGCCCTGACATGAGGAAGATTTTAGAGCCCGCCTTTCAGGAATCTACATGTTATAGATCATGAGCCACAGATCATGTGCCAAGATCATGCGCCAGCAGGCACCCAGAGCCTAATCTGGGACAGGCTGTTGTAGCATGGTGCCTCTGACTTCTGTGATGATCCTGACTGCTGTCGCTGTCCCCTGCCCACTGGGGCATTCTCGTCTGAGGCAGGAGAATGGTCTTACATTCTCACAGTGGAGTTTTCTTGGCCGTGAATAGTCTCAGGGAGAACCATTGTGTCTCAAATCCTGACCACGGGGCCTGACTCTTGAAACTCTCATGCTAGCCTGCATTTATAAATAAACAGCCCTTGTCTGACCTTGGGTACATTAATTCAATCTGTTTCCAGCTCC